GCTTGACGTAATGAGACTTTTCAAATTGTTGGAACGATTCACCATCAGTGGGTATGGCAATACAAAATTTTCAAACTGGGTTGGAGATGTTTCGTTCTCCAAAATGGTGTTCATGTGATTAATCCTAGTAGAGTCATTTTATACTGATTTATGAATTTCCAAACATCCCCATGTTTGTTGTTTTCAAATCAGGTATGGGGGCTACAAATGAACCATGTTGTTCATGAACAAGCTCGAGCTCGCATAAGCTCGGCTCGTTTGTCTTTATTTAAATTATATAATAAATATATTATTTATATATTAAATAATATATAAATATATATAAATAACAATATAAATACATTATTTATATATATTAAATAATATAAATATTATTTTTTACTTAAATATTTTCATTTAAATAATATAAATAATATTAAAAAAAATTATCGAGCTAAGCCGAGTCGAGTCGAGCCGAGCTTGAGCCCAGTTTCTTATCGAGCCGAGCTCAAGCTCAATAAACGAGCTAGATAAGTAAACGAGCCGAGCTCGAACTCAGCAAAGCTCGGCTCAGTTCCATTCGTTTGTAGCCCTATGGGTATTATTGACAGGTCTTTTAGTTGTAAGCTTGGTTCATTAATTAGCATCAAGTAATTATACTACTTCCTAAGCACTTCTCTAATGTGTTCTCAATATGGAAAGAATTTATTAATATGCATCATTCCCCTTCTAATCTGCCTTAAAGCTGATTATTTTCTTCACATATTTATCATTAACCAATAAGTCCTAAGAAATATCTTCATTGTGACAAAATGAAAGGCCAACCAAATAGCACCTTGTATTTGACAATCCGTTTTCTTTGAAATTTCTTCGAAAACAGTGTCTGAGTTTTCCCCAATGTCCATCTTTTCCTCGATTTCAATTTTTTATTTTTTATTTTAATTTTCAAAGTAATAATGACCCACAAAATTATGTCCAAACAATTTTCAATTTTAGTGTATCCTGGGCTTCCAAGGATATTTGATTGATTTGATCCAAGTATCAACACTGGACAACTGCCACTTTATTTTCTCTGGAAATATAAAATAAAACCCACCTCAATTGCAGATTCTCGAAAGACAAATCTTTCACAACGTCTAGTACGTTAGCCAGAATACAAAAGTTTGCAAATGGCAATAGCAATGTTACTGAGTCTTTTCTCAATCCAAAATTTTAAGCATTTATTACAAAACAGTGCCTGTACTGGCACCTTCTTCAAATTTTCTTTTAACAATTCTATATTACGCTTCCATTTTCTTGCAAAATGATGAGTGCCATATCCAAGACTTGGTCTAATAGCTGCTTCCTTATTGAATTGAAATGAATATGAAAGAAGAAAAAATCCATTTTCATTTGACAAAATATTTTAACAATCCAAATCTACCCCTAGTTTTTTGTGGAAATATTCTTTACAAGTAACATGGAATGGAAGCCTTTTGTTCAAGTGTGAAAAAGGAGACAATTTGTTTGGCTGGGCGAGTAATCGAATACTAAATGAAAAAAGTTGACAATTTCAGACTCATTTCTTGAAACAAAATGGTCAAACTTCTAATTTAATTTTACTAAACCACTTGGTGAAGTGACTAATAAATTATTGTAACAGAACACTGGGATCACACAGCTCAAATTTAGAGAAGTTGCTAACTTTTAAATGTTTAATTTTTCAGAAATTTGATTATTATAGAGGCACTTATGATGGAATATATATAATTAGTGAGCCTATGCTTCATCATACTATTACATTTGTACCTAATCCATAAAAGAACTAGAAACCAAGAAGTCCAAGGAGAATGAAAATTCAGCAATATTAAATAGGGATGGCAATGGGGGTTAATAGGGTGGATGTTAATTCTCCATTCCTATTCCCCTATAATAAATGTTTTTCATTCCCCATTCCCCATGGGTACCATCCTCCCCATTTCTTAATGGGTTTGGATTTTCCCCAACCCACTTTAATCCCCATTTTTATTTTTTATATTTAATGTTAACAACTACTTTTTTTTATTTTATTTTTTATTTATTTAATTATTTTTTTTAAAGGTTCACAACAAAAGCTAAATATACCTTCAATCTTTTTTCTTTCTTTTTTCATATATTTAATGTTAACACCCCCTTTTTTTTTTTTTTTTTTTCAAGGTTCACAACAAAAACTAAATATACCTTTTTTTTATTTTTTAAGGTTCACAACAAAAACTAAATATATCTTCAATCTTTTTTCTTTCTTTTTAAATATATTTAATGTTAACAATTTTTTTTATTTTTTTTTTATTTTTTATTTTTTATTTTTTTTTAAGGTTCACAACAAAAGTTAAATATACCTTCAATCTTTTTTCTTTCTTTTTTCATATATTTAATGTTAACACCCCCTTTTTTTTTTTTTAAGGTTCACAACAAAAGCTAAATATATCTTCAATCTTTTTTCTTTCTTTTTAAATATATTTAATGTTAACAATTTTTTTTTTTTTTTTTTTTAAGGTTTTAGCTAAATATACCTTCAATATTTTTTCTTTCTTTTTTTAATATATTTAATGTTAACAACTTATTTTTTTATTTTTTTTTAAGGTTCACAACAAAAACTAAATATACATTTAATCTTATTTTATTTTATTTGGTTCAACAACAAAATCAAATACACATTAATTAATTAATTAAAAAGTTTGTTTTATAATAATCAAATATATAATTTTGAGACAATCAAATAAGTTTTATTAATTGAAAACAAAAATGTGGAAGAATGTGGAAGATTAAAAAAAAAATTACAACCATCTCTCTCTCCCATATATGTTATGAGAACTTGTTTACAATGTTATAAGAGCCTGTTTGAAGAAATAAAATGTGAAAGAACCTATTTGAAGAAAGTGTTATAAGACCCGTATTAAATTGCATCAGGGCATAAACAAGGAATTGTTTGTTGATCTCTTAGCCACGGACATTTTAGATATTAAACCATTTTTCTCTTAGCAAATTTGAACCATTCATTTTGATTTATCCAAAATCTAATTACAACTTTTAACAAATCTGAACCACTCATTTTAAAATATCTATGCCTTACCACACCCAATCCATCCTCCATCTTCTTCCTTTAGTCCCCCACGAATTTTGTTGTTTGTTACTTTTAAAAAACAAAAAATGTTTTTTCAATTAAATTTTTACTAATTTCACAACACCATCACCACATTTCTCACCTTCACAATCACACTACCATCACCCTAGCTACTACCATCATCACTGTCGCCATCACCCCACCACTATGTCACAATCTCTACTTTCACTTTCGTTCCATCACTACCACCACCAAATATAAAAAAATATATTTTTAATTTTTTTTATAAAAAATATTTTCTATCTAAATAAATGAAGCATAACATTGGGAAACAAGCTGATTTCAGTTAAATCTGTTCATAACTAAGAAAAAATTTTTTATTTAAAAAAAAATTATTTAGTAAGACTTTGTATCCCCTTTTTGTTTTTCCAGCATAGCAAATAAATCTTTGTACCCATGCTTTCTAACCAATCACGACTCATGCTTGTTTCGATTCTCTACAATTTCCTTATTTCAAATACATTCATATATATATATATATATATTATATGTTGTATAAATTGTGTGATACATAAAACAAATAGATTCATACTCGTTACTTTGAAATTTCAGAACAAGCAAACCATTCTGAAAATTACAATACTAACAAAATAAAATAACATAGAAAAGCAAACGAAACCTGCACTAGACAGTATCCTTAATTTTTTAAATAAATTTAAAAAATTCTAGATATGCATAAATTTGACAAGAATAATGTGAACGTTAATTAGTGTGTATTTGATTTTATTGTTGAGCCAAATAAAATAAAATAAGATTGAATGTATATTTAGCTTTGGTTGTGAATCTTTAAAAAAAAAAATGGTTGTGAACTTTAAAAAAATTAAAAAAATTAAAAAAAAGAAGAAAAAAAGATTGAATGTATATTTAGATTTGGTTGTGAATCTTAAAAATTAAAAAAAATGGTTGTGAACCTAAAAAAAAAAAATAAATAAAAATATATTGGATGTATATTTAGCTTTGGTTGTGGATCTTAAAAATAAAATAAAAAAAATTGGTTGTGAACCTGAAAAAATAAATAAATAAATAAAAGAAAAAGAATAAATGTATATTTAGTTTTGGTTGTGAATCTTAAAAAAAAAATAAAATAAAAAAAAATAAAAAAAAAGAGGGAATTAGTGGGTACCATCCCAACCCATCCCCTGTGTATATTTAAGAATATCATTTACCCTATCCAATGGATAAGAAAAAAAAAGAAAAAACCCATGTATTTAGGTTGGATCTCCATAGATACTCACATGATAGGTTATCCATTGTCATCCCTAATATTAAACATTATTCAAAAAAAGGCTGGCCCCTCTCTCTCTATTTCAAATATTTTCCTAACACATCCACCAATCAACATGTAGTGTTGACCATCTTGCACGACTAAACAAAATGAGAAAAGTAGGAAGCAATGAGATGAGACTCCATTATTATTATTGACTTATTTTTTCTTCATACCTCTTTCTTCACCAATTCCTCATTTGCTTTTGGTCTCAACTAACAATCTTCAACTACTACTCATTTGCAGAGCTTCTTCAAACTGTTTGTTTTTGATGAGTTTCTGACTTTTCAGATCCTTCACAATTCCAAAGTTGTTTGAAGTTTGCAGAGTTTTGATTCTGTTTTTGATCTCTGTATTGCTTCGTTTCGTACCTTTTATATATTTTTATCTGCCAAAGTTGTTCAACAGTTTGTAGAGGTTCTGCCTGTTCTTGATCCGTGTATTGCTTCATTTTGACTCAATTTCTCACCTTTACCACCGAAATCTGTTCCAAAGTTTGTAGAGGTTCTTCAGTCTGTTCTTGATATCTGTGTTGCTTGGTTTCATTACCTTTCCTTTTTTCAAAACAAACACCATGGATGTATTTGGGATCTTTCTCTCTCATTCGTACAAGCTATGGTTGATAAATTGTCCCTTTATTTTAGCAACTTAGTGAGCACAGCCGACGCTGGCACTGGCATCCAGAATCTGAAGAAGGCATTAGAGGATTTAGAGACTTTGTTGGCTGATGCAGAGAACAAACAAGTGTACGACAAAGGATATCAAAAGTGGCTAGAAGAGGTTCAACCTTTGGCTTATGATGCAGATGACTTATTGGATGATTTTGCCACTGAAGCTCTCAAAAGGAAACTAATGGCGGAGGAGACAACGATGGGAAGAAGACCAGCTAAGTTTCCACGTCTCTCTTCTATTGTTCCATTCAATTTAAAAACTGGGTCAAAGCTAAATGAGATTACAAGTCAATTACAAAAGTTGTTACAAAAGGAAAAGATCTTGGTTTAGATAAAAAACTTGTTGGGAGGATGTCTACAGATTTACGGCAGAAGATCACAAACTACATGTTTGAGGGAGCCTCCATTCATGGCAGAGATGAAGACATCAAGCAAATTATCGAATTGCTACTTGGGTTTGCACCTACTGGAAATTTGTTTGATGTAATTCCTATTGTAGGAATGGGTGGGATCGGCAAGACTACACTAGCTCAACACATTTACAATCACGACCAAGTGGAAAGCATTTCAATCTAAAAGCATGGGTTTTGTGTTTCTGATGACTTTGAAATTATGAGAATAACAAAGGCAATTCTCGAGTCATTCACTCACGGTTCATGTAATTTTAGTAACTTAAATGAGGTGCAAGTTCAACTTAGCAAAACGTTGGCAGGGAAAAAGTTTTTGCTTGTCCTAGATGATGTGTGGGAC